TCCTGCAGAGTGGGATATAATATAAGCTCGAACGAAAACGATATCAAAAATATATTCTTCGATACACGATGCTAACTTATACTATAGTAGTAAATCGTTTAAAGTGTTCTTATTCACGGTTCCGATGAATATTCCGTTTCTAAATAATTACGATTCGTAACTCAAAATACAGGTTATACCTATTTGTATAACCGAGTATAATATACCTATATATATTATATATATATATATATATATATGGGTGTATGGGAATACATTATATTATTTTTATTCGCATACGAGTATCACGCTGTACGTGAGTACGTCGGATGAGACGTGATTGGCGACGACGCGATAGGAAGGTTCAAAATATTATATTATATTAAATAATAATAATAATAATAATGATAATAATAATACACGCTCGCGGTGTAACGACGACGGACGAGATGACCTCAGCGACGGCGGCGGCGGCCGGTTCTTTTGCGTCTGACGGGCGACGTCGAAATCGCGAAACGCCCCGCGGGCTATACGTCGCCGCCGCACGCCGCCCGCCGCCACCGCCGCTATACACTGCAGCCGACGGCACACAGAGGAGTCGTGCGGCGGCCGCTCTCAGCGGGGGGCCCGTTTGCCTTTTTACCGCGTCGCCGCGGGGGGAACTACGCCGTCGACGCCGCCGACACGACCCTCCGCCGCTCAGCCCTGGGACGGTGCGCACCTCCCTCCAACGCCGCACGACCGATGTCCCTATATAATATACAATAATGGGTACAACATGTGATATATTAGAAACACTGTAATATATATATATATATAATATATAACAAAAATAATGTTCGATACGATTATAACGGCCCCGACCAAGTAGTATATTATATTATTTAATATAATATACTACTATTTAATATAATATATTAAGGTGTCGGTCATTGAGATTTTCTGACGCCAAACGTCTCCGAATTAGTACGGGGATGCGCAATACCCGCGAGCGTCACAAGATATTGTGCTCCGTATACCTTTAACAGCAACCTGCAGCTACTGGAGTGTCATATTTTCATGGTACCTATACTTATACTATTATATTCACATACGATTGCAGGCGGGTGTATAATGACTGTGACATTTATTATACAACCATCTTCATGAATATTTTACATTTTAATATCAACTTTTAGCTATAATAGGATATTGTAGGTACATAAAATAATAGGTTTTATATATTTTAATATTGATATATGTATATACTGTATATCTCTGTATATAGATACCTATACCTACCTAGTGCTGCAGTGTTATCGCGTTATTGTTTTTTTTTTCTATTCTTTATTCACGCGTATATATTATATTCCCAGACACGCGTTCCGGCCGGGCCGAAGGAATCGTAAATCGGCTTCGGGCTAAAGAGATGATAAAAAAAATTACACTACGTGACGTCCGCGGCGTAAATTAGACGACGCGCGCGTGTAGGAAAAAAAAGTAAAATAAAATAATAACGACGATAAACAATGACATGTCTTCGGGCACGAGTGATTTAGTGGCCGCGTCGTCGTTAGATATATATGTGGTGTTATTTTTTTATATACCTACTTTTTATATTTATATAATTATTATTCCGTCCGCGATATAACGGGCTCGGGAGAAGGTGTGAAACGGCGGACGCCCGAGAAGTTTTATGGATATACCTAATATAGTCGCGTACGACCTGAGCGCATTCACACACATGTATACACACCAACACACACACACACACACATATATATACACAAGTGTGAGCTCAGCACGCGTGCCGTAGCTGCCGACACTTAACAAATCCAATTAGGCTACGATCTATCTAGTCTCGCGGTATGCGAAGGGTGCCCGAAACATTGATCAATGCTCACGGGTCGTGGACTGTGGAAAAAAGTTTAATTTCGACATAAATCCCACTGTGGTTTTTCGTATTATAATATACATATATAAGTACCTATTTTATTATTGTAGCACCAATCGATGTATTCTGAACTGCTCGATTTTCTCAGTACATAATATTGTGTATTATTGTGAATTGTGATGCTGCTGCAGTCGTAAAATTTAATTGCTCTCGCGACCGTCCCCGTCGTATCTAAATTTGATTGGAAAATATAATGGAAGGTGATAAAGTAATACACCAAAGTGTCAAATGCATATAATACGCACGAGCTAAATATATATTATAACGAGTGTATTATTATAGTATTGCAGTATAGTTATTCCAAGCGGTTGACGTGGCATATCGTAAATTCGTCAAAGATCGCACGTGGGCAGTCCGTGTCTTTCTTTTTAAATACTACACCGAAGCCGTGTAGCGTACTATTATTATATTTCAAATACGTGAAGTTCCATTGAAGCGAAGGATCGGAGAGAGTGAGAGAGATTAAGGAAAGGAGAGAGACCAGATTACGGAATTTGAAAAAAAGTTGTAATTCATAAGCGTTATGTGTATTTTTCACACGTTCTCGAGGTTCGAACTAAACAGGCTGGCGGCGGATCGTAAACTTGACGTTTCGATGGCTCGAAACAAATCTGACGTCTGTTCGGGACACGGTGATAATGTCATTATATTTCATGTATATATGTATGCAATATACATTTATACATTATGTGTGCGTGTATATGTGCGTACGGGAGCGTTTCAAGGGGACCGACAGAGAAGTTAGAAAAAAAATAATAATAATAAAATAAAAATTATGAATATCGTACATATGTATAATATGTATATATATTATATAAAAAGAAAAAAAAATCATAAAAGAACCGAACACCTAAGACGGGTCGTAAAAATTGACAGGTATTCTGGTGGTTTTCTGGTCACTTTTTTTTCTACGTCCCTCGAGCATAAATTATGTAAAAAATTCGTGTTATATGTAAATATGAGCGCCTGCGATCGTTTTGACGGCCCAAAGACTCCGGTCGGTCTGGGTTGATCATAAAAAAAAATCCTTCAAAACTATATATACATATAATATCCTTTATACCGAACTGCGACTTGGGCGTATAATACTATATATAACGCCGAAAACCTACTCGGTTATTATACGGCAGCTTGTAAAATAACCCGAAAAGACAGTAATGACCCAGCTCCCAGTATTTTACACATTTAGTATTGTATATACTATATATTCGTTTTTTATTTTACGATTGTTACATTATATTATTTTTTTTACCTAGCTAATTTACCGTACAAAAACTTCCGAAAGAAACGATTTTATGCGGTGTAGGTATATAATATAATATTATATTATATGAATGTGCACACACGTGTATACCTATATAGTATATATATTATATCCTCGCGGTGCAACAAAAAGACCGTAACTTTTTATTCTTTTCAACGTCCCTTTATATTACGACATATCGCAGCCGACTCTAGACGATAAAAATTCGCATTCGTTTTCGCGCGATTCTAATTACGATTCGCATGCATTTATTGCGCATATAGTTTTTGGAATAAAATGAAACGATAAAACAACAAACGAAAAGCGCTTGTACATTTTAGGATACATCGGTGGAATGGTTTTCGATTTTTATACCTTTACTACAATTTGTGTATATATACACACGAAAAGCAAGCAATGTCACGTATTACATGCTTCGATTTTTGCGTCCGTACACGTATAGAATTGCGAATTAAAATCAGATCACTTCCCGAAATATCCTTTACATATTATATATAGGTAATATATATATGTATTTCAAATTTCTATGCTAGGATGCGGGCACGCGCGTGGATCATAAAGCCTTTTGCGTGATACGCGTACGTAATATTATATATCTATGTATATTACGCAATAGTATAATACCGTAATATATATATATATTTCAGGGAGAGGGACGAGAGCAAAAAGCGTCGAACGCGCGATTGAATTCGTGATGGGATTTTTGTCATCGATACACCCCCCCCAAACACTAGGCGGCTCGATATACCCTTCTTCTTCTCCTCTTGTCCCCTGTCGACCGCATTGTTTGCACAGGATACTAACCACCACCACCACCACCACCAGCAGTATTAGTGTATATATTTGTGTGTGTGTGCGTGTGCGAGTGTGTATGTTGTTTGTATGCCGAGTATTTGTATACGTGTGTTTATACATATATACATATTATATATGTATATTATTATATCTCTGGAACGGTGAGCCGACATATTGCGCGCGCGTTCCTATCATCCCCGTCGGCAGACTCGGGTTTAAACTCCCGAGCGTGGCTACACAGCATCAGCGTGGTCCTCGGGCGCGCGTGCAGTACGCCCCGCGGGCGCGAATGGGTAATCGAGTTTGATTCCTGAACAAATATTGTCGTAAGCCCTTCTCCACGCGCACCCGTTCTTCCCGTTGTTTCCATCGCTTCGCGTCCTTCTCCTGCACCCCCGAACCTATCCCACCCGACCCCTCCACTATTTACCCCTCGCCCATAACCAATCGCACCACAGTCAACCCAGAGGGATATATATTATGTACCCAGAACGCGCTTCAGAGCTGCACCCTCCGAGGGACGTGTATACATATTATATGTATACACATGCGCCTTGTGTACACAATGTTGTTGTTGTGTGTGTGTGTATTATTCGCCAAGCTCTGACGCCTCTGCCTCTGGATATTTATACGTGTTTGTTCGAAACGTCTGCCAATTATGTATATTATACTTTTTAACAAAACGTGCGCCGACCCGTGTTTTTCTTACCCCCTTTTTTTGTTTTCTTTTTTTCAGTCTCTGCGCGCCCACCCTATGTGTCTATTTGTGGTATTTTATATACTGTTTCGTTCTCACGCGTCACGAACGCGTGATGCGTGTGTATATAATAATATAATATATTATATTATAATAGCTCTGCCACCACTCCTCCCCCTCCCCTAGACTCCCGATACTCAACACATAATCTGCTTGAAGTTATTCAATACAATAAAATACAAAATGCATGTATTACAAACATATTATACTGTAGTTGTTAATATCATGTGATGATAAATATCTAACCGATCGATTTCCCCCTCGTTTTCCAGGTATCGACTCGTTGACGTACTCGGGATCGGAGGACGAAGAAGACGACGAGACCACCTCCAACAGCATATCGTCTACCAAACACCATCTCATCACGGGACTCCACGGATCGGGCGGTCCCGGTTCGATATTGCCACCGACTACGCCAGAAGCGAACAACAACTCGCTGTCGGCCGGTGACCTGCAAGCTCCTCACTCGGGCCTAGATCTCAAGGAGGATTCCGAGGACCAAGGTAAGCGACCCGTTAAAAAATATATAAATTATAATATACATAAATGAACCATAATTATTGCGTGGTCGGACAATTGTATTACGTATTAATATTCGACTTTTCCCTATAAAGGTTCTTTGGATGGCGACCCGGAGACCAGGGATAGCCAAACGGAGAACAAATCGCCGGATGACGGCAATTCTGGGTCCAAGAGACGGGGTCCCAGAACTACCATCAAGGCCAAACAACTAGAAATACTTAAGACGGCCTTTTCGCAAACGCCCAAACCTACCAGGCACATCCGCGAACAATTAGCCAAAGAGACCAGCCTGCCTATGAGAGTCATACAGGTAAGATACTTTATAGTTCTAAAAATATTCATAGCGGCATATATTATAGTATATAATAAAATATAATATCGATTCAGGCCGTGGCTTCGAGTACGCAGCATATAATTTGTCGTAGGTATACGTTTTTTACATATTATTATACTATATTTATATGTATGCGTATAATAGAACACGTGCTTTTTCGGCACACACGCCGCGATAATGCATTTAAAACGACTGCGCGTGTCAAAGATTTATATTATTATATATGGGTACCTATAGCACCGTGTGGATACGGACGATACGGTACGGTACGGACGGACGAAAGTCGTAAATTCACTTCTCTAAATTAACTGTCACTATATACGCACAACGCCCGTTCAGTGCGACTGCAGCGATTCGTATTTATATACATTATACATATGTATTTGTTTCGGGATGGTGCCGATAAAAATAATATATATATTTTCTCCGAAAGGCTATAATAATAATTTACCAAGTTCATCATCATGCGTTTCAAATATTTTCCCGCGTCTGGTGCATATTACAAATCTAACATATTTTATCCTACACACGCTCTAGTATAGTGTCTATACTGGTATATTATTTTAACAGTGTGGTATACTGTTGTAGCTAGTGTAGCAGGAATAATAATAATAATAATATTATATGCTTTGAGTTAACGCATGCGAGACGCGCCGCCGCCGACGCCCATATAATATTGTATAGAAAACGACAAGCGCCAGATTTTTGACACGTCGACGCCGACCGTAATGGACTTTGATGACATTTTGATAAACCGAGTAAAACGACTCGTTCCGACGCGTTTACCGAACGTTTATGCCTCCGCGATCCGCGATGATATTATTAGGTGTATATATGCTTACACGGCGCGCCGAATCTCCTCTATATTATTATGTATATTTATATAGGCACAACTGTAGATTAACACGTATATAATCGGCGGCAATGCGTTCCGCGTCGGATCCCTCGTCAAAAAACCGTGCGATTTTAATTATTTTTCGTCTCTACTCCTTTTTTTCCTTATATTTTTTCCCTCCTCCTCCGACCGTTGCTTTGTTTATGATTCTCACGTTTGCTCCGGTCGGAAGGCTAACGACTTTATTTATTTATATATATATAAATATATATATAGATATATGCGCTTTGCGCACGGTATTATACATTCATATATATGTATTTTTTTCCTCATAATATATACCCGCGCACCGCCAATACAAATTACGGACGGAATAACAAATTATACAGTAGATATAAATAATAAATACACACATATATATATATATATATTATATAAACACGGGTTTATGCATTCGTACATAATGTACAAAACGCGAAATAACCTTATGGAAATTCGCATAATTTTTCGTACCACACACAATAAGGTTTTTTTTTCCGCAATACGCCGGCACTCACGCGAGCCCATGTAGGACGTAGGTATACACGACGATGATAATAATGTATAATATGCGATGATTGATAATAATTCGTTCGAGAATATTATAATATTTATAAATACACAGTTTACTCATATTATAGGTACCTATTGGCTATTATACAGCTGGTGCTGGACATTCATCGAAGTATTTCATGAATTGTGTAGGTTTTATTTTTGAATATTTTTATATTATCTTACTATAGAATACTATAGAAGATAAGGATTAAAGAATAAGATATTATACAATATCTTTGATCATGTTTTAATTACATAGGTATATATATAAATATAATATAGTCTTTCGATAATCGATATTCACTTACCTGTAGCAGGAATTCCTGCGAATTGTCAGACGTCGGTTTACGTGCGTGGCAAACATTGTACGTTACGTTTTAATCGTTTTCTCTACGCGTACTTTTGCAGTTGTTATATTTACCATAGGTACTATATTATGTAGACAAAGCGTATATAATATATATTATATATCATACGATTTTGCGTGTGGTATGACGTTTATCATGCGGTTTTTCTGTGCCCTGTGGTCAACAATGCGTGTTTTCGTCTTTACGAGCTGTGGTCATTATCGCGCGTGTGCTTGCGCATAAGAAAACGACGACGTGTGTACTTGATTGTTTTTTTCTTTTTGTCTCTCTGTCGTTTTTAACCACAGCCAGGGAGGTCCAGCAGTGAATGACGGCGGTTTCCCGGCTCTGGACCAGGGTTGTGGTCGGTCTACGAAAAAAAAAAATCCCAAAGACTTTAGTGAGGTCACACACAACGTGCACGCGCTTTTATTTCATTTTTTTCCACTTGTCTTTACGATCGGCCATCAATCAATGTTTAACGCGCCTTTCCCCGCTCTTAAACCAAAAGAAAATCATTAAAAATACATTAGGTAGAAATTGAGTCTTCTGTTTTTTTATTTTTATTTTTCTCTCGCTGTAGTGTATCGGAAAACGTTAAACCTAATGACGAACATTACCGATCGCTTAAAAAAAATTTACATTTTCGTTTCCGACTGCAGGATTATTTATTGAAGAAAATTTACCAATATTGTTTTTGACGAGAACTCAAGCAGTAGAAAAGTTTATTCGATTTAATTTTTGTAAAAATAATAACGTAATTCCTTGTTGTATGTTTTATCGAAAAACAGGGCATACCTATATAACATATAACTTAAACGTATATAGGTACTGTAAGACACCGGCGATTTGATATTGTTTATTGTAATGCAATGCACGCGGTGTGAATAATAAATTATACACAAACGTTATTTATTATTATTTATCAAATATTACGAATTATGAGAGTCAAATAGTGTTCGATAGAACAAATTACCACTACGGAAAAAGAGTGTATGTATGTAGAAACCGGTTTTCAATAAATTTGTTATTTCTTTTCACGTTGGAACACGGCTGCATCACCGGCAGTTGGCATTGTTTAATAGCACATATATTTATCCATAGAAAATGATAGCGAGATTTCATGAATAAACATATTATTATTATATAACACTCGCGGCCACTGCAGTTGTATAGGTCATAGAACGCGAAAACGATCATCGATGATTGATATCACATAATTTACGTAATATTTATGTTTTCGGTTGTTTCCGCAGGTGTGGTTCCAGAACAAGAGGAGCAAAGAACGGCGGCTGAAACAGCTGACGTCCATGGGCCGAGGGCCGTTTTACGGTGGTGCGCGGAAAATGCGCGGATTCCCGTTGAACATGAGCCCCGGGTCATTGGACGACCAGCAACCCGGTTTCCCGTACTTCGCCGGCTCGGCCGAAGTCAAGTTTGAATTTGGTTACGGGCCCGGATCGTTCCACCCTGACTTCTTCGGCCATCACGGCGGTCCGCACGGTGGTGGCGGACCCGGAGGACCATTTGGACACCCAGGTAAACATCACTTATATCATGCTCATTGCAAACAGTTCTATACAAATTACATATTACATGACATATATATACCATACAATCGTCATATAAGGTTTTTACTTTTTACTATAAAATGAATATTGAGAAATATAATGCATATATGCTCTCATACCTATCATGGTACCCTTAGGTACATCACGTTTTAAATCAATGTACCAAGTGTAAAATATTATGATAGAAGGAGTCTCTAAATAATATACTGTTTTTCATTTTTTAACTAAAATAACAATATACAACTTTTTTATCTAACCATACAACTTAAAATTTATGAACGATTTTTTTATTTTTTTAAAGGTCAATAATTACTACAGCTACTATATTTTGAAATTAACTATGTAGACATTTTTTACTATTAAATCGTTTCTGGTTTCTCATCTGGTTTTTTATTAAAAGTTATAAGGTACATACTAATATTGTTTATTGCCATGCAATTAAAACAACAGTATAACATTGAAAACAGTCTATTAATTATTATTCAAAATGTACAACATTCAAGCATCATATAATATTTAGTTATTTATTTATCTAATTTAATAATACAGTTTAAGAATTGAAAAAATACAAAAAAAAAACAAAATAATGAATCAATAATGTTACAGCTGCTATAATGACAAAAATAAATTTAAAAAAACCTAGGCTCTCGTACCCCAGTGAATAGGGTGGTTCCAGTTCCTAGTTTCTTTCTTCTTACCATAATTAGTAATGTAAGACTGAATAACAAAAGGTTAATTAAATCTAGTGGGATGAGAAGGAAATTAAAAATTGATTTTGGAAATGAAAGAGGGAGCATTGCCACGTCCGTCAATAATTAACTTATGCAAAAACACCAACATCCAAATTGACTTTCCGCAGTATTTTATCTGCTAGATAAGTAAGCTAGCTAGAGTAGCTTACATCCATTACTAGAATAGACGAATACTCTAAAATAGACAGTATAAGAGAGCAGTACTCAAATTTAAGAGAACTTGACAACTATCATAAGATATAAAGACGTTTTTAGGACATTCTATTATTTTAAGTAACTGCCAACATTCGTTTGAACTGTAATTAGATGAGAAAGACAAATTATTTAATTATATAAAAAGATTAACGTGTGCTTTGACGAAAAATTCAATTACATTCGGTACACATGTTGCGTCCCGTAATAGTAGGATGCACGGTGTAAAAATACTTCCGAAACCGCCTTTTAATTAATTTCGAAAATAGGTATACTAAATGTATCATAAGTATGTACGTTAACACTGCATGAGCCACGCATACTTGTCTTTAATAATATTTCTGATTAAAGCAATATTGCAAATGGTCAAAATATTATATTATTTTGCTGTTGTCTTCGAAACCGATGATTGTCGGAAAGGCACGTCCGATAATAATTACGCGGTTACCTACCCGTCCGTAAAACCACGACCAAGCAAAAATAACATGCTATTCGGACGAACGACATAATAATATTACTATGCATATAATATATTTTTAGTCGTTTTGACCACGGACGAAAATGTACTTATAGGGAACAAAAACAAACTTCTATAAAACACAACGACGTGACGGCCTTTCAGTGGGGCTAATAAGACTAACGATATTGTTGTTAACGTCGGACACGTTTACATTATGCTATGCGATATTATAATATTATACAGATTATGCACACATCGAGACAGCGATCGAACGCCGTTTGCATGTAACCCTTTTTGGCATTTGTTGAAAACATGTTCGCTAACCTCTTTCCCTTCTTGTTCGTCTTTTCAAAGGTGGTATGGATTCCAACCCGATGTCTGGAATGGGGCCCGACTACCCGGGCATGGGCCAAGACGCTCCGCCCGGCTTCATAGCGCAGCAACAGCAGGCAAACGACCAGCAGCTTGTGTCACAAAGGCCGGGCAGTCCGTCAGAATTCATGGGCTCCCAAGGCAAGTAAATTTACAAATAACATATTTTATTCATTCGTCGTTTTTAATAGTCAGTCAAAACGTCCCGTAAACACACCTCTTTGTACAAATATTTGCACACTATTCTCTTGTGGCGTTATATAGTATGATATAGTTAGGTAGACACTGAATTTTAAAATATGCTCACCACTTTATTGACAAATTCTTCAATCACCGTTACATACTTATAAAACAATATTCAATAATTATTGTAGTTTTTAAAACAAGTAGCTATATTAAACAGTAAAACTTATAAACGATCCATTCAAATATTCTATTATACGGTAGTGGTAGCTGACGAGGATTCTATATAATAATTTATATTATATTATGATCTCTATATACCTTGGTACAACGTTTAAAAAAAGACTTGAGCATCCATGTATTCTATATATCTAGAGAGAGTTTTTATAACGTAAAGTACATTCTTAGAAATTATTTATACATTTTAAAATCTATACCTATTGCAGTAAAATATAGATTTTATTATCGTATAGTAATATTTATCTCCAAATATTATACGTAAAATTATACAATGGTCGTATAAACGTTTTATGACTGTCAAAGCATGTTATTAGAATAATAATATTGTGCTGGACAGATTACAATGCAAAGAAAATTTTTTTATGAAGCTTATATATAACTGGTATAGAATAAAAATAAGCGTTTGTTCAAAAATGTTTAGTATATTTTACATTATTGTCTCTTATACATATCATATATTATATACATATTATATATATATATATATATATATATTACAATATGTTTGTATGTATACCGCATGCAGACTCCGTAAAAATTGAACAAGCAAACAAAACAAGTTAAACTTCTCTATATATGAGAATCTCGCCTCAGTGTGTTTATGTACGGCGGACTTGCCAATTATGCAGTGTATAAAACGATGACATCCGTTATTGTGATGCATCCATATACACTTGAAAGTCTGAAAGGCGTGTTGAGAATATTTTAAATTGTGAATATTTACATAATATATACCTATACACATCATATAATTACTTTTTTTTTTATCAAACTGTTCTGCAAGCAAAAATCTAAATAACATTTATGTATAATGTGCGGATATTTTGTTTTCACAGGTGGTAGTAGCAGTGGGTTTTCGGACGCACCAAACTTGCAGAACGAAGGCATCGTCTGGTGAGATAATGTATATATGTACATCGATCGCAACCGTCTCCGCAGATTCATGCCCTAACACTCACAGTATAATATAAGAATGTTGTTCTGTCGAACGGAGGTAAAATTATTAGAACCGTGCCATAATGTTATTAATATTATTATTATTATTATTATTATTATTATTATATATCACTATATTATATTATTATAGCGCAAAACATCTTTACGCATAATAACTAAAAATACTAAAAATTTAAAAAAAATTAAATCGCGCACCGCAATACGCGTTATTATATTTTTCGAAAATAAAATGTTATTATGTATAAAATAGAGAATATTTATAACTTGTGCAACGGATTTAAAATATACATAAACGTTTAACATTATTTCGTGCATATAAAATATGTATATATACATAACGCGAGTATAGGCATAAAAAACGCAGTATTTTGTAGGTTAGAGTATATTGATATTGTAAAAAATTTTGCTTTTTCGGTGTACATAGTTTATGTAAAAAAAACTTCCGAGTCGAGCAAGGTTTTTTTTCCTCGATAAATACTAAATACATCCGTCGTAATTTCGGTCGCATGGAAATCAGCGGTCACGAGTTTTTTTGATTAAAGTTTATAAAGTGTAAACGGCTAGATGTATCCTAGAATATAAATATGCATTTATGTATGTATAATTATATGATATAACACACCTCTAACTATTTATAATATTTACGATTATTTGTAATATGCCCCGTGTGTTTCGTGTCCTAAAAGCCCCCAAAAATCGTAAACTATTACTGCGCTGCAGTGGACGTGAATATTATATATTATATTATATAGAGAAAAGTCCCTTTTGTCTGTGAACGGTTTTCACTGAAAACCGTGTATTATTATTATTATTATTATTATTATTATTATTATTATGAAAAATTAGATTTACGATAAAAAATGTTATTGTTTTACTATTGTCCCAAAGTTGAAAATATTTTTCTTTTTTTTTGTTGTTATTGTATACGTTCCCTATGATCATCAAACCTGTCTATTGTAAAAAAAAAAAAAATAATAATAATATATATAACTCTGTTGTCATTATCACATCAAAAACTGACGTTTATTTATTGTCTTTTCCCCTACATAACAAAGTAGTATCGGTAGTACAATGTTTGTCCTCGGACTTGCAAAACGCGTATAAACACGATACCAGCAATGTCAAATACGATACCGACAACGATATCCAGGTTTGAGGCGGCGGCTTAATTATGTCGTTTATAATAATAATACCATATACCTATAATATGATAATAATATTACGTTATGAGCCGTCGACGTGTCGTTGCGAGCGTCCCAACTCCAAACCTCGGCGGCCACACGTCATTACGTACACGCGATGATATACGCATACACATGTCGGTATACAATATAACCTAACCTAACCGCGTAAATACGTAATGTAAAACATAATATGTAATGAAGTTTAGAAAACAATCGGTTGTGGTGTATAATATATACGTATGCAATATAAATCGGCGACCCCCAACCGACGAGGAGGGTCGGAAAAAGTACAAAAAATAAAAACCATTATTCGATTGTAATCGAATTATATTATGTGCGGAATTGACTGGATGCCTCCTCCGCCGCCGCCGCTGCCGTTTGATGGCCTTACAGTGAGTGAATGCGCACGTGTGTGTATGTGTGTGTGTGTGAGTGTGTGTGTGCAAGCGCGCTCGCGCACGCTCTTTATTTGCCGTCGCCGCCGGGCGGGGTTAGAGGGCGTCAAGTGCCCCCGCCGCCGCCCGTCCCCTCGATAATAACCGTAATTATGGTCAATTTGTGTAAATAAATAATTGCCCGAAAGCCCCGCAGGGACACACGCTGCAGTGTATATATAATATGCGCGTATACATATATATATATGTATGTACATATTATATCTTCGTAAATATAACGTAATTGATTACGTGTGTGCGTGAGACGCCGTGCATGCGTGTGAGCGTGTGTGTGGGTTTGTGACAAGTCGTTGTCCGTCGCACATACCATAATATAATATAAAATGTATAATATTATAGTAGCACCGAGCCGGTGACATTTTTCGTCTTCCCCAAAATATATATTATTCTACCGTCATTATTTTTTTGTTGCTTTTTTTCGTTCGCTATACGGCATTATACGCACACGTCCGTCAAAAATCGTTCTTCTATCGCGTGCGAGAGTGCCTGCATATTATTATTATACTATTATATAAAAACACAATAATTTAATAGGTATACATGTATACGCGAGTGTGTTAGGTTCCTACATAGGAACCGCTGCCAACAACTACTGTCGTTTGCACGACAACGATAATATTATAAGCACGCGCTAAACCGTCGCATCTGCCCACGAGTTATACTACGATGCGCCACGAACATAATGATAATAATATAATAGCATATATTTTTTGATTAATATTCGTGATTTTGTATACGTCCCAAAGCGGTTTGTTTGACTTACCACGATGTACGACGGCGTATACGTATATATTCGCTCAGCATTTTTACCATTCCGACGATTATTACCAATGTGTACAATATTGTCTTTTTGTTTCGATGTCAACCTACACATCATCAGGCTGCAATTCGATTTCCACAGGGACCCGACATATTATGTTCACCCTTAATCGGCGCACGAGAACAAAAAAGTGAACACTGCAGATGACCGTGCGGCACGTTATTGATAATTCCTTTCGAATCCGGTGGAAATTGCGACTATAAAACGTCTATACATTCGCAACACTCCAAATCGAGAACATTTATAGAGTCTCGCCGCTGTGTGTAGCTAGTGTGCGGGTCGGTGCAGCAATCAATCTATCACGCCAAAGGTGCGTATAAGTTCAAAGATATTGCTGTGTCATCCTCTTAAGCGTGCACGACGGAAGTGAATAGACTTCGGCGACTATGCGTGATGACAATACCACCGATGCTGTTATAATATGTCGATATTAACAGATGTATACAATACACTTCATTTGTTTCGTGTTCATCAAAAAGTCGAATAATCATAATAGTACGATAATAGCAACAACGCCCGAGCCTCCAAGGTAAGAAATTATGCTTTTATTCCTATTATTATAGTGAATGACTTACACGCCATCAATATTGAATATAGTTGTCGAAGAGCTGGTTATTTTTTTCCGGGGCTGTCGCAGAGACGTCGTTTTTGAAAATCACGTAGAGTAAACTATATGTATAATATGTATATAACAATATATATGTATATACAATTTATAAGCCTAGATATACGATTTTACTTGCACCTTGTACGCTGGTTCGCGGTAGACGGTATGTGTAGGTATATGCATAATAGCTTTGTGGTGACATTACTCATTGTTACGATGTGTTTTTAGCTTTGTGTTTTTATAGAATTGGCCTATTTCCATTGTCCATTGTTGGCGGCCACCTTATATCTTGCAAACGACTGGACTGCGCAATACAATATAATAATATACTTCGAACAAAACGCTTTGATAATTTTCAATTCATATAAAATAATATTTATATTATTTTCTTCGCCACTCGTATTATTCGTAGGTACGCATAGTGTATACGTATTATAAAACATATCCTGTCGTCTGTCTTCTGTCATGCAAGATTATATGTCATATCGGTTTTCGTTACAAGTGCAGTTTATGTTTGTAGTTTTTACCTGCGTATAATAGATCCAATACTAATTCATTGTCGCACATCATACTTGACAGTTGGCAATCCCAACTAAATAATTCAATTTCAATTATTGAAGAGGTCAATTTTTTTATTTGAAATGGGATCTTTATTAAAGATAGAATTTATAAATTTTGACGAACGGGTTTTATTTCATAGTTGAATTGTGTAGTTTCCAGTGAGCTGCAGGAAGATTTTTAAATTTTTTCGATGAATCGTGACATATAGAGTATCATGGCTTAATATTATGCATAATGATATTATACAACAAAATAAATATTTCACCAACAATACGTGGGATCAAGTATTCACACATATGTGTTTATAGTTTCGACTATTTTGTGAGATGGTACGACTATACGAGGTCGAGCATTTGATTCCTCGTGTAACTCATTCAATGCATTTTTAAAGAAATATTTTAAGTGTAATTCCATATCAGCTATAACATAATATTATGAGTGTAGATCTATCATCGGTCAACAAACGCTCATCTTTATTTGCTACAAGAACTGAAACAACATTTTTTCTACTTTTGCACCATCAACCGGCCTATCAAATTTCATAAGTATGGGTTGAAAGAGATAAAATGGTATCATGATACAAATCATAATATTTTAAGCAATATTCTAATAATCGACAATATAGCACCAAATAACTTAAATCTTGCATCTTCTACAATTAATAATGATTAATTGAATTATACTAATGGCGTTTATATTTTTTAAGCCTATGAATGTGTTTACGGAAAAGCATTTTCAAGGGAAAGAATGACCACGCAATAAATTGATTGAAAACACTCTGATAGCAAAAACACCTACTACAGAAATCGTATAAAATAATATTCCCGAGGGCACATTTTTTATTATATTACATTTAACGATCAGTATTCAATTTTAAAGACTTTAAAATGGAATGCATTATGCTTATTTTATTAGTTATAATATTCAGTTAAGGATATAAAAAATTATCAATTTTTTTCTTATACATGTATTGGATTAAAGTTTGAGCTATAGTGAAGTATAGGCGTATTACTAAGTAGACGAAAATTTACAAAATATGAATTCATTAAATGACTAATTTCCAAAAAAGTTATGATTTATTTTCATGGCAAAATTTCATTATTTCGAGAGCCTAGAACAATATTGTTTCTATTGACACATTCACTACACACAACGATGTAGGCATACCTGCTATAGATATGGTATATGTTTCGCAATATTAATTACAAATATTCGAAATAATATGCTAAATTAAAATGCGTTGTTATTCTAATACAGTCGAATGAACTTGCGTGCTTTTTCATGAACTTTAATGCGCTTACAGAGTGTAATAATCGGACCGTGTTTTTCGAGATCCGGTTGTTGTGCTGTTGCGTAGTGCTGCGTTGTAGTAGTACAACTACAGTGGTAGTATAAATTATATTCGTATACATAGTAACGGGACGCGGGGCGGGCATTCGGCGTGGGGTGTAGAGGTTGTGTGAGGCGGCGTCGAGCTAGCGGCTGGGAGGATGCGGGGGTGGGGGCGGCGGCGGTGGTTGATTACCTCGTCCGCAAAACAAATCGCCACCGCCGCTGGAACGAAACGGACGGCAATAAACGCGCCGCGGGCAGTGCTATTGTTGTCCGCCGCCGCGCGTGTGTGCGTGTGTGTGTGTGAAACGCGTCGATGACGGACGGACGACGGATGAGAACGTCGGTTCGCGCGAAACCGAACCAGAAAGAGATGGGACCGGAGGGACGGCGGAGGCTCGCGTGATCGCGCAGACAGACCGCGCGCACGGCACCGCCACCTGACGCATTTCTCACGTCAACACCGCCGCCGCCGCCGACGTGCTTTTGGGGAGGTTTTGCTCGGAGAGAGTATAGAGAGAAAAAATACAAATACAAATTACCGTCGTTATTGTTATTATTATTATTATTATTATTATTATTATTGTCGTTTTATACACGCGCTCGTTTCTCGTCGACAGGTTTTCACATCCCCTTTCTAGCAGCTTATAATAAATATTATAATATACAGGTGCTGCAGAAGTAGTAAGCTGCACCATCATAATATTATATACCTGTCAAGTCGATACACGCATACGACGCACTGAGAGTAGGTAAAATAATACAATAATATTATGTAATAAAATAATTTTTTTTTATGTTTATGTAATAGGTATCAAGTATACATAGTATAGGTATACGTCAAATAGTGATTAATTAGATAAATTATTAGCTA